TCTTCGCCATCGGCCGCGGCCGCGTCCGCCGCCACGTCGTCACCGGCACCCGCATGCTCGTGCAGGGCGCCGTCGACCCGTTCTTCGCGCGCCACATCGCCGCCTGGGCCGCCACGTCCTACCTCGGCGGCACCCGCCGCGACCCGCGCAGCGGCATGACCCCCATCATCAGCAGCCACGTGCGCAAGCTCGGCGACCTGTTCACGCTCCCGCCCAGCCTGCTCCGCGTCGCAGACTGGAAGGCCCGCGCCTCGGGGGACCCCCAACTTCACGTGGACGAGGCCCTCAACGATCAGCGCGTGCTGCAGGACCTGCTCGACGACGAGTTCAAGCGCCAGCACGACGCCGCGGAGGTGGACGCCGCCGCGGTGGACAACCTGGACGGCGCCCTGGACCTTACTCTGGGCCACAACGCGGACCGCACGGCGCCCCCAGATGCATTACCGGACCTCCCGCCGATTAGCTCCGGGTACGTGTACACGGTCGCGGCGTCCGCTGCGGCGCCGGCGGAGGAGGTTCTGGAGGACTGGTGGTTCGAGCGCTGCGAGGCGGGGGACCGGCCGCCAGAGCGCGCGGCGCCGCTCGGGGAAAGCGAGCTGGATGTGTCGACGATCGTGGGGGAGGAGCTGCTGTCGCCGGAGCTGCTGCGGAGCAGCGAGAGCAATACGTCTGTGTCTCTGTTTCGGGAAGAGGCGGAGCCAGTGGCGGCGCGAATGGAGGGTGCTGTGGATGCGGATGCGGAGGCGGAGGCGGAAGAGAAGCTCAGGACCAGAAGGCTCAAGGCGCGCGAGAGGAGGGAGAAGAATCGGCTGTGCGCGCAGAGATCTAATCGCAGGGCAAAGGCCGTTCGCGATGGGCTCAAGGCGGATTTGAGATCGTGTAGGGAGAAGCTCGAGGTGCTGCGGGCTAAGGAAATGGCGTTGAGGCAAATGAATCTCGAGTTAAGACGGTCTTTTGCGGAGCGTGCGGGCTGAGGGAAGACGTACCGTGCCTGTGCGGTGCACCGCTTGCAATAGCGATACACCATGCGGGGCCTTTTTCTATGGCGGAGATCTTGGGACGTTGAGTCACCGTAATATTGTTTCCCAATCAATCCAGTTTTTCGTTTGTCTCTCTTCTGGGCGAGCTCATTGCCCTGGGACGGGTTTGCGGCATGGAACATTTGAAGGCATGCTGTACTCAGGAAGACATGTCTCTCTGGTTTGGAATGGTTATGCTTCAATATCTGAGCACAACAACATGCGTGAAAGTAAACAGGCCTTGCGTGGCGATTGTCGGAACTTTTTCTGTACCTTCATCATAACGGAAAATCCTTCGCCTCCCACTCCGTTTCCCTCTCGTTGTCTTGGTCCGGGGCACTTTCCTATTTTTTTCATTACAACAGGAACATGTTGACTATATCAGCTATTCTGACATGTATTGCAACGCATTCCGCCTTTGCAACGAAGCTCTCGGTACTCCCATGATGCGCCCACACCAGACGCAGTCGTAGGCCTGCTCAGCACTGGCAAACAGGAAGGACGTCTCTTCAAGCTATGTCCAGGTGCGAAATGAACTAATCAAAAGGTCTGCAGTGTTCAAGGCTTGGACCTCCACCTTTCACTGTCAATTATATTGCGAAGCTGGAGAACAAGGCAGGTGTGTGTAGGCCCGTCCACTCAGGATACCCATTGCAGACAATTTGTTTTCATGTCATCCATATTAATAGGCATCTCACGCCTTGAAGTTGACATGCCCAACTCCACAACAAGCTCCTAAGACATGCCTTCATGATGCATCATGGCTTGACGCTAAGCCATGTAAATGCATGGCGTTGTGAACATAGGTCCGCGTGCAATCCTGCCATGGCCTTCAGTAATGGAGTCAAACGGAGTCAATATATGAAGAAATCTATGAACCGGCTAATGGCGCAGTGCAAAAAAAAAAAGGGCAAGCTGTTGCACTTGTGATACCGACATGTGCCATAGCAGACATACCCAACTAACCATTTCACCTGACTGTAAACACATTCTAGAAGGGGACCTTGAGAATAGTGAGCCGAGCACGGAGGACCTGAGCACATGTCATCCTGTCGTGGCCAGCATCTCAGATCCTACTGGAGTGCGCCAGGATGTACAGGCAGTTTGCAACACGCGTATTCAATTTGAGGTCCGACCCGTGCTAGTAGTGTATAGAATTCCATGGCCCTGGCTGTCAAGGCCAGCTTGAAACAGGCGTCCATAACTACGTGCGAAAAGAAATCGCGCCATACTGCATGTAGCGAAACATCGACTGTACAGTTCACAAGTGTCTCGTCATGTAGAGGCGAAAACATAATCGGTCGCCGCTGCAAAGTGCGAAAGCAAAGCATAGAGAAAGAGCGATAGAGAGAGCGCGCGCTCTGACGACTTTCTCCTGTCAAACCGTATAGCACAGAGCTCTTATAAAATTAATCACAGCGCTTCAAGTGGCGATTGTTGGCCTTCTCAAGCCGCGCAAAAGAAGAGAAATTGAGGCAATCTCCTTCCTTTGCAATTTGTTGACTCCCCAGTCCTTTGTTGCTCGCCATTCGAAGCCTTTCTACGAATTCTTCACGATCGACACCAGCATGCATGCCAATCCAATCCAAGCGATCAGTCTTGTCTGCATCGGAAAAGGGAGAGGCATGCAGTTTCGTCCCGCAATTCGTATTTTTGCGCACGTGACAGCCCATGTCGAGATGAAGTAAACGTGTCTGAGCTGCAAACGCGTCGCTTCGTTTTATCCCTTCGTCTGCGTTGGACACTGCGGCTGTCCGTTCCGTATTAAAAGCATGCGGGCCTATCCAATATTAAGCTTGCTGACGTCGAACCAGAGGAAAGAGGTGTTGGCAATCGTCCAACACTTACAACATGGTTGCAAAGCAAAGGTTTCGCAAAGAAACAAGTCGTTCTAAAAACAGAACGACGAGTGATGAACGTGCGTTTTCAGAGGTATCTCCCCTTGTGGTCTCGTCATTGCCATCCGGGTCCTGCAGATGAGAATGAATCGAGGCGACCATGTTGGCGGGGTTCATTTACTTTTTGTGCTGACGTGCCGCAAAGGCATCAGGGGGATGTTCAGTTTGTCCAGTTCATCATTTAGATCGCGAGGAGCTTGACGAAGCAGCGCGGATAGCTTCTTGCTGGAACCGAGATGTGTCCATGACAGTTGGAGGCATTCCAATTCGTGGAGTCTGACGAGATGTGCATGAGTACGAAAGGCGTCGATATGGTGTAGAGGATGTCACTGTGTGCTACGGGCGCGCGCGCCTTTTGGATGACGTGTTGACTAGCAGCGAGGCCGACGAAGGAGGACGTTTCAGATACTGAGATGCCTTTTTGGGGGAGGCAAGCAAGCATGGGACGCAGGGTTGCGATTTGATTGAATGGTAAAAGGCATGTGATGCGCAGAGCGCATTTCTGGAAAGGGGGTTGCGGTTTCGAGCGTTGCACCAACGCGTGAGTGCTAGCCATGTCGGACACAAGAACGTTATATACCGTAGACCCATGACAGAGCGGCAGCTACGCGGAGAGAGGAGACGTCGCAAAGACGGTGTTCTTGCGGCCCGGACATTTTTACCATTAAGAATGGAAGGAAGAGGAAACGTGTGTGGGGG